GGATGCATCCCTGGCGTACGCCCTTCCCAATTTTGAACCATGCAGTGTTCCCTTGCTCTGTTCTGACCACTGCCTCCTGGTCCAAGTATAGGTTTTGCACTAGAATGATCAAGTGTTCTGGGATTCCCATTCTTCTCAGAGTCAGCCATAGTTTGTTATGATCTACCCAATCAAATGCCTTTATGGCAGTTGATCAATCAGGGTGGGATTTACCACAGGTGGGGGTTGTTTGTTTGTTAAAAAAACACTCAAGCAGGTGGGGTTAACCAGAAACTGAGTTTCTGATAACTGGTCCTTTCACATAGTATTTCATTGTTTAACTGTACTATAGAGCTTCTCTATCCATTTGTTTGTTGATGGGCACTTAGTTGTTCCCAACTCTTTGCTATTGGCTATTGTGAACAAAGCCACAATAAACATGGGTGTGCATATATCTGCTTGGGTGGAAATTATGGTATCTCTGGGGTATATTTCCAGTAGAGGAATTGCTGGGTCAAATGATATTTCTGTTTGCAACTTTTTGAGAAAAAAGCCTTCCATAGTGGTTGCACCATTTTACACTCCCACCAACAGTAACTAAGGGTTCCAGTTTCTCCACAACCTCGCCATCATTTGATGTTTGCTGTTCTGTTAAATTTTGCTGTTCTGTCTGGGGTGAGATGATATCTCATAGTTGTTTTCTGACTGCACTTCTTTTAAGACAGATTTTTTTTGTTGTTGTTCTGGAGATTCATGATATATTCTATATTATTCACTAACTTAATCCTCAGCAGAATCCAAATAGTATAATAATTTAATTTCTCTTAATGGGGTCCATACCAAGCAGGAACCAAAAGATGTCTTCATCAAGTATAGAAGAGAATCTTTACGCTTTTATCCCATCCATAGCCATATCATGTCCAAGACTTAAAATATGCCACTGAGACTGGACTCCTAAAGGCACAAGAAGCTCATGAACAAAGTCTTTGTCTCCTCCAAATTCCAATCAGGGCAGAAAATAGAAAGGGATATTCTTGGTCTAGCCTCATGGCCAGGAATAACTTCCATATCTTCTCCAGGAAGAGAGCTGCTCCATATCTGTGCATTTTCCAGAGGCTAGGTGGGACAGAGTCTGGGTTAGAATACTGTGCTTTATGCAGGAGGAGTGTCTCAAGGCCCATTTCCTTTCCTGTCAGAGGGATGATTGCAGAAGGAGCTCGTCACTCCTTTGACAAAAAGGGAGTGATTGTGACTGGTGTGGAGGACAGAGAGAAGAAAGCTGTGAACCTAGAGCGAGCCCTGGAGCTGGCAATCGAAGCAGGAGTTGAGGATGTAATTGAAACTGAAGACGAAGAGGAAAGGAACCTTTTTAAAGTGAGTAAAAAGCCTTTTTGTTTGGCAGACTGCCACGAGGGCAAGAGGAGCCTTGGGAAGGCATAGCTGTCACTTTGTCTCTTCCTGCATCTGGGTGTGGGTGAGACAGAGCTCACACACTGCACAGGCATTTATTAAACAAAGATTGGGTAAGGCCTCTTGCTGAAGATGCTGAGAGTTCAGAAACTGGAAACTGTGTCCTACTAGTTAAGAACTTAAACGTAGTCGTTCATGGCACTATATACTTAATTTTGTTACCTCCTGATTTCTTACCTCTTTAATTTCCTTTATCTCCAGTTTATCTGTGATGTCTCTTCACTGCATCAAATAAGGAAGAAGCTGGACTCCCTGGGCTTGTGTTCCTTGTCCTGTACACTAGAGTACATCCCCAACACCAAGGTGCGGCTGGCTGACCGAGAACTGGAGCAGGCTGCCCATCTCATCCAGGCTCTCAGCCGCCATAACGACGTGATCCACGTGTATGACAACATCGAGTAGCCTGACTGTGTGAGCCCAGACTCCTTCCTAAGCCCACGGCAGCATGATTAGCAACATGGGCTTCTGCTGTATTCTCTGAAGCAGGAGTGGTGTTAACGGGCGAGGAGTAAGGCCAGCATCTGCTGCCTCGAGGCCAAAGGACTCTCTAACCGCTGTGGAGCCTCGTTGTCAGACTCATTGGTGACTCAGGCCTCCTGGACGAGCCTGCTGCCCTTGCTCAGGATGGGGCCAGCTGGTCAGGTTCTAATGGCAGAAGTTAACCATTGCAGGGAATTGAAGGTCTGTGTTTCAGAAATTGCTCTTGAATAATACGTGATTGATCTTAGTTGCTGCATTACTGTTGTGTGGCTGTTGGGTTCTCCTGGGTTTGTGTCCAGCTGTTGGGACCCTGTTGGTTTCCTTTAAGCATTTAGCTTTAATTCTATTATTTCAGCCCTTAGATTGTTTTTATTTATTTTTTTTTCCCCATTGGCCAGAGAAATGTAGCTCTCTGGGCAACATACTATTCTGTGGTATATTCCTGCTCTGATGGCCTGAACCTAGTATTCATTCATGCAATAATACATATGGAGCACCTACTATATACCTGTACCAGGAACTGTAGCTTTCTGGGGCATGAGTGGTCAACCAGTGCCCTGTCTTGGATCCTGCCCCAAGAGATAGATAGACCATCAGAGGAAGGAAAGGACCAGGCAGTATGAGCATCCCTCCAAGTTTTCTTTATGTGACTATTGTGCCCTCTTTCACTGGGCATCTTTATATTTCAGCCCAGTAGAAAGTCAGCAATGAGGGATTTCCCAGGCCAGATTTTGTCAGAGTTCCTGTGTATTCTGAAATTGGTCAGAGTGGGCCTGTCAGTAGCTTGGACTGTTCTTATGAAGAGCTACCCTGAATTGAGTTTGAATTATCTTTGGGCCCTAGAATAATTGATGCCTTTGAATTATAGTGTTGAAGAGGAGTACTAACTATCCCATGAAATGCCAAAAAAAAACAAAACCAGACAGCAATGTCTTGGAAAAGATGATGCAAAAGTGTTCTTTAGAAACAAGGGTGACGAAGCCTTGTCTCACATACTTTGGGCATGTTTCTAGGAGAGGTTATTCCTTGGAAAGGGATGTTATGTTTGGGAAGGTGGAGGGTCAGTGAAGAAGAAGAAGGCCCTCATTAAGATGGATTGACAGTGACTGCAGCAATGGCTCAAGTATATCAGAGTTGATGAGGATGACGCAGCGTAGGACAGGGTTCAGATCTCTTGTTCATATGAGTTGTACTTGACTCGTTGGCACCTAACAGCAACAGCCTCTTTTTCATCCTTGATGATGAGCACTGGAAGCTAGAGGGGAAACAAGGAAGAGGAAAGTGGGAGAGGCTGAGTCAGAAGCCTGGCAGGAGAGAAGCAGGATCCTGGGTGCTTTTTGCTCCCAGCAGTCACTTCTGAGCAGTGTGCAAGGCTCAAAGTGCCAAGCTGTCTTGCCAGACTAGGTCCAGCAGGTCAGGCTGGGGGTCTCAATGGCTTTTTGATCTCTGCTATTTACCTATTTATAGGTCATTAGTGCCATTGCTGAGCTCACAGTAATTTTCCTGAAGGAGCCTCAAGCAAAGATGGGGAAGTGCTAAAAGCAGACTGATTAAAAACTAGAACTTTAGCACTGGGGAAAACAGATCGCTAATTCCACAATGATTTCAGCAGCTGGAAAGCAAGGGCTGGGGTAAAACCAGCAAAAGAACCCACGATCATACCCTATATTCCCTTACCCCATTTTGTAATCATTACTACCTGGAATTTCTTCAGACATTTGATGTCTCATCCAAATGTTTAAATGTAGCACATCTTTAACGTGGGCCGACTTCAAGTTTATTCACCACTTCATAAATTATACTTTCATATGTTATTATGTTTTCTTTTCACTGCAAACCTATCACATAGGCAGGTGAAGTGTTTGCTGCATAAATAATCTCACTTCAAGCAGATGAGAGAAGATAAGGTAGAATATTGCATCTTCTACTGATAAACTTTAGTTTATAAAATAGCTGTATTGAAAGTATTGATTGTAAATTAATTTGGAGAAATGAGAAAATTTGGCCAGAACTAAAGGATCCTGTTCTGGAAGAGAACTTGATAGCTTCTGTGAATAGTCCTCCTCTGTGATACAGTTAACAGGCTTGCCCACTGCTCAGAAGGTTAGAGGTTTGGAGGTTCAAGTCTTCCCAGAGGTGCCTCAGAGGAAAGACCTGCTATAAACTACTTTCAAAATGCCACAGCTTCACATAGAAACAGTCAGTCTAGGGACCAACAGTCCACATGAACTCCAGCCCTCACTGTGCTGAGACCAAGAGAACTGGGTGGTGCCTTGCAGACTGATCTTAAAGCAATCACAGTAGAGGGCCCAGGCCAGAGTGAGATTAAAACATGGAACAAAACTCAAAATCGCAAAAATGCCCAGGCTTGCAACTCAAAATCGCAAAAATGCCCAGGCTTGCTAATAGAGACTCTGATGGAACCTTGCGACTATGGTCCTGAGTCACCCTGTGAGCCTGGCACCAAACTCACCTGTGTGACTCAGGTTGCAGCTAAAACTTTGATAGGCTTATGCGGTGAATATTGACATCAGGGAGGCACTCACTCCTTAGAACTGTCAGGCATGCAAGTGGATAAGAGCAGCATTTGCTCAGGGAAAAAACTCGGAAGGCAGGAAGGGGTAAAATACAAGGATGCATAAAAATGAGAGTCACAGGGAAGAAGTATCATAAAAACCTGTCTGAATTGAAAACCAATTGCTCTGTAAACTTGCACTCAAAGCATCACTTTTTTTAAAAGGTCACAGCATCAAGAAATATGAAGCACTGTTCTGCTCTAAAACACATGGAGTCTGAAAGAGTTGGAATCAACACAAGGGCATCTGGTTTAATCGATTGGATTTGTTAATATAGATTGCTACACAACAATTTTTCTTTTTTTTGTGTGTGTGTGCCCACATTTATTTAAAATATTACAGCATAGCACAAATTTTCTTCAAACAAGGTATTCTCACAGGTCTACAATTAGGCTCCTGTGACTCTGACTCTGCACTGACCCCTGGTGGTAGCTTGCAGTCTTTAACTGATAAGGAGACCTATAAAATGGTCATATCCATATAAATACTACAGTGTCACTAAAATGTATTTTTTTGCGGAATATTTCATGCCACAGAAAATGTTTAAAATATATTAGGTGATTATGGAGCTCTGGTGGCCTAGTGGCAAGAAGCTGCACTCCAGTCCAAGAGGGGCGCAGTTCAAATCTACCAGATGCTGTACTGGAGAAGGAGGGACAATCTCCTCCTGTACCAGTCAGATCCGATTTGATTGTGTTGTGTTGTTGTTATGTGCCATTGATTCACTTGCGACTCATAGCAACCTTATGTACAACAGCCCTAAACTCTGCTCTGTCCTGTGCCAATTGCAGTCTCTGACACTCCCATCCCGATTAACCCAGTCACTGAATCAATCCACCTCATAGAGGGCCTTCCCCTCCTGCGCTGTCCCTCCACCCTCCCAAGCATGATG